TTTTTTTTTTTTTTTTTTTTTTAATTTTTTTTTTTTTTTTTTTGTTACTTTTAAGGAGTACTATTATGCTTTGTCACTTTCGAAATTTCATTGTATTCACGTAAATCGTTCTTCAAAGAAATGTCGTAACGCGTTTTCATGATACCCTTGGCGGACGGTGAATTTCTTCTAGGAGGCTGGATGATTTTCTAAATGCAATTCGCACGAGGTAGGTCATCAAATTCATCTCTGATAGTTTCTTGAAAGCATAGAAATTTTTTAATTTTTTGCAAATTAATATCTAGGCAAGATATCTCATAGAATACAAAAGTAAATTTCACAAGTATTGTAGATTAAATTTGTTTAATAATTCAGAAAAATAAGTAAAACACAAGTAAGTTTAGTAAATAATTATAAATTTTTTAAACAATTATATAAAATTGAAAATTAAATATAAATTTAAACAAATTTTAAGTAATGCAATTTCTGTTGTAATAAATATTTTTTTATTATTAATAATTATTAGTAAAAAAAAGCAAATTTTTTCTACAATATCTCAAAAAGTCAATTTTGAAAAGATTAAATATAAAAATTACTGCAATTAATTTCTTATAATTTTTTCTAACAAGCATTAAATGATCATTTAAATAATTTAAATGACATAAATGAATATTAAAACATAATGATTACATTAATTTTATTAATGAAGAAAGATAAGTTAATTTTTTTTCAGTACATTAGATAAAATAATTATCTAAAAATGTTTTAATTTTCATATCATTATATATTATATTCATATCACATCATATCTTGCAAATATAGTAATATATTTACAAGAACAAAAATTGCTAATTAAAATTATTTAACTTTTATTAATTCTTAATTTCATATCAAAAGTTTTCATTTGATAAGAAAGTAACCTGTTAATTTTATCGCTGATTAAATTTTCATTATCTGTACTTTAAAAAGTAATTTTCTATTTTAAAAAATCTATTATTTATTTTAATTATTCTAGTAACTTCTATTATCTAACTAAATATCTATTCACTTTTATTAAGTCTATTACTATTACTATTACTATACTATTTATTACAACAACTTTATACATTAAATCGAAGTAAGAATTTAATTATTTATATAAATCTATTTTTCATTTCAATAACCTTAATGTAAAATATTTTATTCTGTTTATTCTTTTTAAAGTTTTTTCTTTTATTCTTTTATATTTTATTTTTAAAATTAATTTTATCATCACATGTATATCCAATATTCAATAATCTTGAATTTTTTTGAGATTATATGTTTCAGTTCTCTAAAATAAACCTTAAATTTAGATGCATTATATCTTTTTCACAAAAGAATAAAAGAGAAGAAAAAGAACATATACATTTATCATAACTGATAATAAAAAAGAATCTTCTTTTTATTCCAAAAAAAATCTCGATTCTAAAATAAACGAACTTCTCAACACGCCCGTCAATTATCTTCTTCCGATTCTTCATCGTAATCGATTGGCGCGAAAACACACCGCACGAGGTC